CTCAGTTCGCCCCCGAAGGGCTCCCCCCAAAGGGCAGCCCCCTTTGGCTCACCCCTTCGGGGCGGACCACCAGCAGTGACCCGTTGCCAGGGACGGCCTCCTGGCTTTAAGCCCGCCCCTGGTAATGGCTGCAGGCAACACCTGCAGGTGAAAGGTCTGAGTCCGAACAGGGCAGGCCTCTTACTGAGGAGATAGGCAGTGAAGACACTGTAGCAACAGCAGGGCTAGATCTTTCCTTCAAGGAGGGGGCTAGGAGAGATGTTAGTCCTTGTGCCCAGCCCTCACCCTTCCCTCCGCTTTCTGAGGTCTCTCAGATATCCCTCTGTGTAAGGGATAGAGTCATACATATCCTTCAAAGGGAAGGACACACAGGATCACATTTATCTCCAAGTTCCCAGGGATAAGTTTGGCACTAGGAATACATGATATATCCAAATTACTTACCAGACCCATGTCCCGGGTACAATACAAATAAAAGAATACATAAAAAATAAAGATGAAAAGTACTTATTTACCATCATTGGCAGAGATAGAACTACAGATATCTGTGCTTAAATCAAGTTAGTTACAAAAAGGAACAAAATATGACCTATACTATGTAAATTAGACATACCCTTGGAATTAAGCTAAATAGTGGGAAAATAATCACATCTACATGCTCTGTGTTATGTCAGCTTCATGCCTTCTTACACCTCCATTACTAAGAGCTTAATAATATAGCCGAGTAGAAGAGCAGTGTCTTTTGCTATTGTAAACTGACTGTAGTCAACAGATTTGCTGCAGTCGCTTTATGTCCAGGCATGCTCCCTTTGCTGCCTTAGTTGGGAAAACAGATGACCATATTAGTGATGGAGAGAGTTGCAAATACATTTCCTGCATCCTCATTTCCCAGTAACAGGAAAGCCTGACCAACCTCTGTTAGTACATAAAGATATATTCTGCAATGTTCTGATGGGAGAAAGAAATGTGTCTGATCTGTAAACTTAATGTGCTGATGGGAGAAAGAAATGCGTTCAGGTCAAAGCAGCTGACCTCAAAAAACAATTCCTCAGCTCTCATCCCCCAGCACTGTTCCTTTACTTATGCTACATTGACATAATCAAATGGACCCATGGGAAGGAGACCCTTGAAGAATTCTACAGGGATTTCAACAACTTTCACCCTACCATCAACCTTACCCAGGATCAGTCCACATGAGAGATCTGCTTCCTTGTCACTGCAGTACAATGAAATGATGGCCACATTACCACCACACTATACCAGAAACCTATTGACCATTCTTACCTACATACCTCTAGCTTCCATCCAGGACACATCACAAAATACATTGTTTACAGCCAGGCCCTACGATACAACCGGATTTGTTCCCACAAACAGAGACAAACACCTACAAGATCTTTATCAGGTATTCTTAAAAAACTTAAATACCGAGGTGGGAAAGTGAAGAAACAGACTGACAGAGCCAAACAAGTACCTAGGAATCTGTTTCTTCAAGACAAGCCCAAAGAGGAAAATAACAGAACACCACTGATCATAACCTACAGCCCCCAATTCAAACCCCTCCAGCACATCATTGAAGGAAAATAACAGAACACCACTGATCATCACCTACAGCCCCCAATTCAAACCCCTCGCAATCTACAACCGATCCTGAAAAATGAGCCCTCATTTTCACAGGGCTTGGGAGAGAGGCCAATCCTTGCCTATAGACAACCCCCTAACCTGAAGCAATTTTTTTCCAGCAACCACACATCACACCTCAGACACACTCACCCAGGAACCTACCCCTACAATAAGCCCCATTGCCAACTCTGTCCATACAGCTATAATAGTGACACAATCACAGGACCTAACCACATCAGCAGCTCATGCAACTGTACATCCTCTAGTGTGATATGTGCCACCTCTGCTTTGTATATTGGCCAAAACACAAGTGAAGAGTGGAAGCACAGCTTTACCTTCCCCTTGGATAGCTGCAAAAATCTGAAGGGAGGCCTAGAAGAGTCATAACTACAGCAATGGCTTCCCTGATCGGGATGTATCTGACACTGATATAACTATTGCTGGAATACTGTATCCAGTTATGGTGTCCACAATTCAAGATGGATGTTGACATTTTGAAAGTGGTTCAGAGAAGAGCTATGAGAATGATTGACATATTAAAGTGACTGAGCTCCTTGAGTCCATTTATTTTAGGATTGAGTTGTGACTTGATTACAGGCTAAAAGTACTTCCATTATGGAAGTATTTCATTATAGGCTTTTCCATCTAGCACACAAAAGTATAACTCAATAGGCTGGTTGGAAGCTGAAGTTAGACAAATGCAGATTGGAAATAAAGTGTAAACTTAACACTGAGGATAAGCCACTGGAAGATCATTGTAGATTCAACATGTCAGGAAAAGTTTTTTAAAAAAATCAAGGTTGAATGTTTTTCTAAAGGATGTGCTCTGCACATTATTTTGGGGATGTTCTATGGCTTGTGTTGTACAGGAAGTAAAACAGATTATCACAATGATCCCTTCAGACTTTCAAATCTGCAAAGTAAGGCTAGGTCTATATACTACTGGTTCTACAGCAGCACAGCACATTTCAAAAGCATGCTACTATAAAATTAAATGAAAAAATGTTAAAAATCATACTGTTGCAGATGGAAGTTAGTGAGGCTCTAGATGGCCACAAATATCCATACACATGTTGATCAATGGAGGATCAGGGCCTACTTTTGAATGCCAGTTTGCAATATCTGGAGCCTGAAGTCAAATAGTGGCATAGGGCTTTCTGAATCTTGGAAAATCTGGCCCACGTGTTTCAAGTTGGCTAAACAGTGATTTAAGTACCCAAAATTAAAGGATACTTTTGAAACTTTGGGCCTGTTTGGACAGAGAGATGGACAGACACACGCAAAAACAATGGTCAAGTTGAAAAAAAGATGCTGGTTTTGAGTTTTTAAACTTGACCATACTCTATTACTAACACCAGGTGGGCCTTGTCAACATGGAAATATTGTACCCATTTCATTAAGTCAGTTTCTAAGCTGATTTATCTCAACCAGTATAAAGTTTTCTTGAAGAGGCCTTAAGTTTTTAAGCTTGTTTCAGTAATCCAATTTCCTTTTCACTTTGTAGTTCCCTCAATTTGAATCATGGGCACAGCCTAAACTTGGATGCTCCATGCAGATGGAATCCTACTGAAGTCAATGTGACTTAGCAGTATCACAAGCATGTTCCTATGTAGATCAGCCCTAATCAGTTTCATTGTTGTTTATCTGATTTACTTTCTAGCTGCCATGGGGTAAGTAAAAACTGCACAATAATATTTGAGGCAGAGATCAGGGAGGTGGAGTTGGCTTGGAATTAAACAAAATGACAGTTTTGTTATAACTTTAAAAAAAAAGGACCTATCACATTGAAAGTCACTAAACTCCAAATAACCCTTTGCTTGTAGCCTAAATTAAAAAGGACACAGTACCTTAAAACAAAACAACCCCCTGCAACTTTGTAACTTCGTTATTGCACATCACCCTGCAAAGGAAGTCTTGATTATTATATACAGGGCATTGTCAACTGAAATGCAACATAATACCTTTTTGTAAAGCCTAATCAATATAAATGATTCCCCAACACTTTTTAAAGTGTCATTGGGACAGTACTTAAGCAAGTAAATATTCCCCTCTTGTGTTTGCAATGAAACAATACAACACCAAGAATCAAAAGTGAAACTGACTATAAAACAAAATGCAACCAATTTCCTTAATTTGCACTGTCAAAAGAGAAATGCAAAAAACCCCAGCATAAACAGTGACAGTGAATTTTAAAAAAAATTCTATTAGATAATTTAAGTTGTTGTTAGTAATCTTTACAAAGAAATGTGTTGTGTTTAGCTCAGTCTTTTGTAAAGCAGGTGTGGCCAACCTGAGCTTGAGAAGGAGCCACAGTTTACCAGCGTACATTGCCAAAGAGCTATAGTAATTTGTCAGTAGCCCCCACCAGGTGCCACCTCCTCCGTATCTTTTACCCACCAGCAGCCCCACCTATCAGTGCCTCCTCTTCCTTCCCCATGCCTCTTGCCCACTGCAATCAGCTAGTTCATAGCACTCAGGAGGCTCTGTGGGAGAGGGAAGGAGGGAGGGTGCAATATGCTTGGAGGTGGAGCCAAGAGTTGAGCACTGGAAAGTTGACACCTGTAGCTTCAGCCCCAGAGTCAGTGCCTGAACAAGGAGATGCATATTAACTTAGAAGAGCCACAGGTAGCTCCAGAGCCACAGGTTGGCCACTCCTGTTGTAAAGCATTTTGAGATATAAGAAAAACATTACAAACACAAAAAAACCCTTCAAAGAATCTCTTAAGAATGAAAAGCTTCCATAAACATTTATGAAATTGTCCAAATCACATCCTCTCAGCCCATTTGAATGCCTCTTAGCTGTAACAGCAGGTTAGCCACAATCCCAAAAACAAGTGAAGTTGAAGGTGAGGAGCCTATGACCCCCAAAAGAGGGAGGAGGGCTGATTTAGAGTGCCATCATGCAAACGTGTATGCAGGTGAGTAATTCCACTGAAATCAGAGACTTCAGGTGGGACTACTCATGTGTAAATTTACCTGCATGCACATGTCTGTTAGAAAGAGTCAGGAAATGTTACAAACAAACATGTATGATACTGAGTTGGATTCCTGTGATGGTGGATTTTTCTGTTGAAGAATAGCTACTTTAAAAAAAATATATAGCAAATGAGACAGTGCAAACACCTATGACTTTTTCTGTTGAAGAATAGCTACTTTAAAAATATATATATAGCAAACACCTATGACCGAGTATCAGATTTATTATTTGTTCTTAAACCCTGCAAGGATGGAGACAAAACAGCACAATATTTATGAAAGTCTGGCTCGCTGTAGAGATTTTATCTGAAACCTAGTAACTAATAATAGTTAGTTTCTTAACTAACAGCACTTTCCATGAACAACCATGCCATGTATTAGTAAATTTAAATTTTTTTTACCTTTGATCAATCCAGCCCATTGTATGATAGTTACTCAGTATTACACAACTCTAAAAGAAAAATAATTAAGCTCCGTTAATAAGAATTTTCTGTACTGTGTATGGAGAGAACAATTTAACATTTGCCTTATGATTCATGTAATAACAGTTAAACTATCATTTTCAAAAGAAAAACAGACAAATTTGTATTAACTGATCATATTTGTAGGCCATACGGTGTGTTCCTATTTGAATAATATTCATGTACACTTACATAAATGAGGTCATACTAAATCAAAACACCATCTGCAAATCAAATAAAAAATGGTTGCTACTAAACACGAAATTAGTATTTTGAAGTCTCTCCCAAAGCAGATGTGGGCCTCCTCAGAAAACTTTCATGTACAGCTCTGTTTTAAATGTCACAAGAAAACCTAAAATCATGATATTGGCAGGAGGGTGGACAAATTATTTAAAAAACAAGAAGTGTAAACACAAATCCAGCTGACATACTCCTTTAAAACCTAGCTATTAGAATCAGGGCAAGAAAAACACAGAGGATTAATCTGATTCTCAGCGCTTCCAAATCTGTCATCCTGTCTAGTGACATTTATGTTACAACCTAACAGTACTGCTCTCAAAGACTATTGTTAATTGCTCACAGAGTCCTTGCACTAGATTTCCAGCAATTTTAAAGTAACAGAAAAGCTGTTAAGACAGCTTGTACAACATGCTGTCTACACGTAGAAGAAAATTACACAACAGCAGTAAATCACAACATACATAGTACAAACCCTGCTACAAGAAGCCATGCGGCAAATCCATCTGAGAGAAGCCTGGGCTGATCTAGCTGCCAGAGGCTCATGGCACTGACGCTGAGAAAAAAAGTGTTTTCAGCTCGCCAACCAGCAGAAAAACAAACAAAAGACACTGTGGACAACCAGGAGCTTTCCCTGGCGAAAACTACCCAGCAGCTCCCCTGTCTGGCCTTTCCTTTGCAGTGTTCTCTCTCCAGGGCACTGTAGCCAAACAGCATGGCTACAGACATGTCTTTATTATAGACAGTCACAGGGTAGGTTTTTTTTTCATTAAAAACAATCTCGATGTAAGATAATCCAATTAATTTTAAGACAAATTTAAATATAAAAAATAACAAGCTAATGCAAAAAAATTCCCATTAATAAATTGATATTGAGCTTATATTAAGGCAGTAAGTGTGAATATTTTGTAATGATCAGCCCAAACCTCAATCCTACAAGTTTCCCCATTTTTAATTACTTTACATAGAGAAACTGAGGCATGTGATTTCTCTAATCCCTCCCCCAGAAAACTATACAGGGCAGTATCTGAGTTGGGCTTAAAACGCAGGAATACCATATGCTCAGCATTACATAACAGTGTAGTGGCATGCATACATTTAAAAAGGCTGACTTTGCATAGTTCAGTGACATCAAGTAATAGCTATTTTGCAGTGGCATTCTCAAATTTCATTAATTTGAAAGTATGATAAAACTTCTAGAAATGTGGTTTAAAGATCTGAAAAGTTAGATTTTTATTTCAGACACAAATATCAATAGATCTTGATCATTTAACTTTACTTTTTAATTAACACAAAAAATGAAGTGTCAAATTCTGCCAGCAATAAGCATGCATAATTTCCTGTGAAGCCAACAGTCGTAGTATATGCTTATTGAAAGGAAAAATATGGCATTAAATCATTATTGTGATGTCTCGCAACTTTGTACATAACTCTATACCCCAAATGAATAGGCTAGTAGAATTTTATAAATCTGCAGTAAACTGTAAAAAGAATATGATAATATAATGAATTAATGTTTTCATATTCATTATTGAGAAGAATACAAACATATTTTGTGTGTCAGATGATAAATCTTCATGACAATTCTGCAAAGCTGCCCTGTGCTCCTCATTTATCCAAAACTCTCAGTTGTCTAAAACAGGGTCATTTACCCTGAAGTCTATTTATATTTACACTGGGTGTTGCTGAATTTATGTGTGTGTGTGTGTGTATACAAAATTAGGCCCAGATTCTACAAGAGACCTAGATCCTACAATTTGTTCCATGTGGGATACGTCCTAGTGCCCATATGGATCCCCAGAAGTCAGTGGGGCTGTGTGTGGTTATAGAGGTCATCCTGTATCAAAAAAAGTGATCAGAGCTTTAGAAATATGTTTTAGGCTTTCATATTCCTACCAAGGACTTTGGTGTTTTGCTGTTGACTTACAGGGAAGCAGAGAAGGATTATGAGACAGAGCTACAGACAAGACTTCCTCTTTTGTCAGCCTCAGTAATGATATTAGTAGGTTACTTGGGTTTCAAAGAATTTCCACTGTAAGAAGCAAACTTTGATACAAAAAAGGGCAAAATTTAGTCCTCAAAGCCTGGAGCCTGTTTAAATCAATGGGAGTTTTCTGCAATGAATTGCAATTGAAAAATGATCAGGTACTAAATCTATATTTTCACTTGTTCATAACTTTTTATAACATTTTTGAAGTGGAAACTTTTCATCTTTATTTTCAGACCACAAATAAAATAGGTTTGGGAGACTAGAGATATATATTTGTAAAATAGCATTTAAGTTTGTGTGGTGAAAGGGTTGTCAATTATATTTCCTTTCGATTCCATATGCTACTTCAAATGGATTTTCAGAAGTCTGCTTGGCCATGAACTTGCATCAGAAAGGTTGCCAGGTGTCCAGTTTTGAACTGAACAATCCAGTATTTGAGCTTCTTCTGTTTGGGAAACAAATGGAGAAAATATAAATGAGAACATATAAATGTCCAGTATTGTCTAAATAAGATGTCATGTAGATTGTAATGTAATGTCAAGTGTGTTCGGTATTTTTGTTGAAACCATTTGGCAACCCTAGAAATCCCCATGAAAACATGGACTCCGGGTCTTATGCAAAGTCAAGAGGACCTCATATGCTCCAGATCTGGGCTGATGCCTGCACTGTTGTGTGGCCCTGTTAAACAGCTGCCTATTTTACCCCAGAGATGTCTGCTTGTCAGTGGTGGGTACAGCGATTCAGATACCTACAGTAATAAAGTTTGTTAGATCAGTTGGATTCTACAGGTTGCAAAAGTGCTGTATCACCAGGCCATTGTACATTATTCTCTGGCCCACTAAGTAATTCTACACATGGCCTTCAACAGTGCTTGGGCCTGGCCTGCGGGCAGGCAGACAAAGCACCAGGCGAACCTTAGCAGAAACACACTCACTGCAACGTGGAGCGGCAAACAGCAACCCCCTTCTTAGCCCTAACTGCAGGGCTACCGCAGCCCGCAGGAACGACGGGTCCCAGCAGCCACTGCTCCCATCTCTAGTTGAAGTACCCACGAGGAACTACATTTCCTAGCATTCCCTGCTCCCTCTTCTATTTGATTGGTCTGCTTAAAAAAAACCTGTAATTCCCAGCGTGCAATGCTTCTCCTCGAGCGGAGGGGCCCACGGAGACTACATTGCCCAGGAGGCAACGCTCCACCTTGATCCAAGCGAAGAACCAGGCAGAATGGCGTGCTGCATGCCGGGACTTGCAGGCCTTACGGCCGACGCTCCGTACTAAAGCGACCCGTGCGCCAGAGAAGCGACGCTCTGTCCTTTCTCTCAGTGCTCGTGGGGGTCCCTCTGGCTAAGGTCTCGGCTGCTCCGGGTCCTCCTACCCCTCACTCTCCGGGAAGATGGCTGCCGTACGCAGGGCCCGCAGTTACTCCCGCTGCGTGGTGCGCTTCTCCGACCGAGAACTCTGCTAAGTCACCCTGCGGGGAGGAGACACGGACCGAGCAGGGGGGCAAAGACCCCGGACAGCGCCGCCTGACCGACTGCAGCATGGTGAGCAGCGCCCGGCCCGGCCGTGCCTGCTCCCTGGTGGCTGCTGCAGCGAGGGCCCCGGGGCTGGGGGCAGGGCGCGGGCCCGAGGCGGCAGTTGTCATTGGCTGCCGGAGGGGAGGGGGCGTCCCTGGCAACCGTCAGCGGTGGGGGTGCGGGAGTTGAGCGCTGGAAGCGCGGCCCCCTCCGCCACTGACCTCCCCGCAGGCGTAGGCCCGCGAGCGCTGTGTCCGGTGGGGCGAGCTCCCTGCGACCACGCGCGCCCGGAGTGTGGGGAACCTCAGTGCGAGGTACTGGAGGATAATGACGTCGAGATACCACCTTGTCCCCCGGGCCAGGCTGGCGGCGTCCAGCTGTTGCGCCTGCCCCAGGCCGGCAGAGGAATAGGAAGCAGGACTGCCCCGCCTTCACAGCCAGCCGCGGAGTAGTCATTAGCCCTATACGTGTAGACCACCCTGTCAGTAAAACGCAGTATAGAGAGACTGAACTCTCCAGGCTGGTTTGAAGGACCAGCCTCCTGCATAGTGCAACTGTTTGCTGCACAGTTCAATCTTGCTCCTTGGCTCTAAGCAAAGCATTGGATACAGCAGCTGTTGGCCTAAGGACTATACTTCCATATGAATTTCTTAAGACCTCAGCTGATCTAATACCTCAACACTGTGCTGGTAGTGGCAGGCAGAAGATCTCAAAACACTTTACCCCCAAGCTGAAAATTATTTCCATTTTATTGGAAATGGATGGACAACATTTTATAGTCTGTTATGGATCTAAGAAAAACCCATTCACTCAGATTTCAGTTCTGTGCTTTAAGCTCGTTTTTGGGTGGATATAGTTGACACAAGAGATGGGCAAGCTTCTAGGCCCAAGGGCCACAGTTGGGTAGGGAAATAGCACAGCGAGCCATGAATGTAGGCCTCGAGTTGTAGGTTAGAGTGTGGAAAAGGGTTGGGGTAGAGGTGCAGGCTCCACCCAAACAACTATTTACCTTATGCAGATCCTAGTTGGTAGTGCAGTGGGGCTAAGATGGGCTGTCGCTCCCCTCTCCCCCCCCATTGTGGTCTCTCATCATTCCTGGGTGCGGCCAGCACAGCTGGTGGTAGCAGTTCCTGGGGGAGGGAGGCGCCAGTGCTGCTTCCACAGCTTCCATTAGCCACAGTGCCCTGTTCCCAGACAATGGAGCTGTGTCTACATTGGCACCCTTTTCCAGAAAAGGGATGCTAATGAGACACTTCGGAATTGCAAATGCCGCGGGGGATTTAAATATCCCCCACGGCATTTGCATGAACATGGCTTCTGCTTTTTTCCGGCTCGGGGCTTTGCCGGAGAAAAGCGCCAGTCTAGACGGGATCTTTCGGACAATAAAGCCTTTTCCGGAAGATCCCTTATTCCTGATTTTAAGAGGAATAAGGGATCTTCCGGAAAAGGCTTTATTTTCCGAAAG